GATACAATGTAAACATGGACGACGCAATAAAACAGACCTTTGACTTATCTTCTAAATAAAAGTCTGAATTATTGTCAAAATAAAACTGTGAAATATCCAAATGAAAAGAAACAAATATTCATAGTTAATAATAAAAAAAAAAAATCAATAGGTAACTGTATGAGGAACATAAAGAATATTGACTTCATCCCTATTCCGATCACTAGCTGGCTTTAGAATCCCCATGAATTCCAATTCACCGACACATCGGAAGAGACGTAACACTGGACTGGTGTCATTCAAATCCACCAAATACTCCTGAAATCTTGCTAGCCAACGGTATATTGGAATGTTCTTGCATTCCAGTGAAAGATCGAGAAGAGATCGGTAAGCAAGGCAAAGATCCATTTGAATTCCACTTCGCTGAAATACAAACTATTCCTGCCTATATTTAACTGATCAAACTGTAACCTTCCTAACCAACAAGATATTGGAAAATGTTTTTTTTTTTTTTTACATATTAGTTAAAAAAATGAAAAAATCAGAAACCCCTTCCTTAATTTCCGACTTTGAAAATTCAAGGCTTTGAACATACGTGTTCATTACGCAGTTTTGGTTGCAAAAATGCTTTTTCCAAATTCGTTGTAGTAGAAGGAATAACCAAATTCATCACGTTCTGCTTCCCCACAAGCAGTTTTTTCTCCAGACTAGGCACTTTATGGAAAATTCTTAGCGTTTTAGACATTATCTAAAAAAAAAGAAAACAATATGGACATAAAGAGTAGTAAAATTAAATGCATTTTTTCTGTTAAACTCTTTATCTATAATTATTCACTTTAATCTACACACCTGTGTGAGTAGCCTAATAAATCTTTGCCGATCATGAGACATCACATCCATACGCTTCTTCAGAGCTATTTTGTCCTGAAATAACAAGTTACAGTAGTGGAAAACCTTCATGATGAAGATGACCTACATCTAATGATGAAAGAAAAATAAAAACCCAAAATCTTTTAAGATTCTTTCGCTAGTTTTAAAATCTTTTGGGTCTCACGCATATCCACATCCTCTACTGGATTAAATAACTGCAACATTACTAGGATACAATAAAGACGAATTACTTCTTCTGCTAGAGATAAAATTATACCCTCATTCGTTGCTGCATTTCATGAAGCGACAGTCTTTTCTTACAAATACCAACAACTGCTGTTTCATGTTCCGGTATGGCTTCCTTTTGCAGTGCAATTTTCCGTTGATCAATTTCTCGTAAATCAACAAGCAATTTCTGCAGCATATTCCACGATTTAATAAGCATTTTTTAATCGCTCATCTCTGGCACATGCTGACCAAACAAGTTTAACCATAATAACCCCCTAAAGCAATTAAATTACTTTTCTTTGATATAGAGGAATGAACAATCGTAATGACCACATCTGTGAACACAAAAAGACTCATAATAAGGCAACGATTAACAGTAAAAAATGTAACATTAATAAAATAAGCAACATTCATTATAATACTGAAACATTCCTCTATATTCTAAACTTTGATGATATACTTTAAGCAACATACAACCACATACACACTCTGTGAAAGCATTATTTACCAATTTTTACAAGGAAAGAAAACCTGCACTTCACTGCCATAATTGGTTATTCGTTTGACTGGATTCCACAGCTTTAATAAAGAGTCTACCATCTTCTCCACACTCCATGTTACCCAAATACTCTTCCATGTTCTGGAAATGACTGTACTTTGCACAATATATAGATCTCATTTTGAATGCCTATCAAAAAATTTTACACTCGCCAATCATACTCCTCTCACTAAAAACTTAATTAACCCAATTCTCAGTCTTAGTTTAAACTGACTTCTGTTTAAACATTTGCTTAAAGATTGCTAGACATAAAAAAAAAAAAAAAAAAAAAAAAACAGAAATTATCTTCCCTAAAGAAAAGAGAAGTTGAACCTACGAATATGGTCCTCCTTTTTCAACGAAAAAATTCGGATTCGATTGTATCCAGCTATGCAACTCATACACATTTTCTGCATGATATGGAAAACCGGTCGTTAACTCGTGTAAAAGATACAAAAATGTATCATAAGATGCCAGTACAGCTTCTGTCCCAACCTTCAATAAGAAGTTAAACTGATCTTATTTAGATGTTTTGAATGTTTTTCAGATGTTTTTTTTTTTTAAATGTTTTGAAACAGTTGTCATAATGGTACGAAAAACTTACATTTCCGCTATTAACAGCTATATCATTACCAAAATCTTCGCATTCCAACAATTTATGTAGAAGCGTTACTTTGAGAATTCTCTTCACTTCACAAACTGATAAGCTATCCCTCAGAAATCTTGCTCTAAGTTCTTTATGAAATGTACCATCGACAATCATCTGAAATATTACCATTTCATATTGAGATATTACTGAAATCATTATGCGTCTAACTTTTAAAATATACAAAATCAAGAACATACATAGTTACTGGGTTTGATTGCAATAGCTTCACATATAGCTTGCAAGGCATAAGTTGGCGTTGGCATATGAAAGCAGTAAAGCGTCAATTTCCAGAAGCTTTCCTGCGAGAAGCGAGTAAAAATAACATTGAAATCTACAGCTACTGTTACCACCAAAACAATTTTCCTTTCCCTAAAATGATCTTCTAAACTGAAAAACTTAGCATACTCTAAAAATAAACGAAAAACGTCAAAACTCAAACAAACGCTGGCAATTTTAGAACCACTATACAGGCAAACTTAAAAGCCGAGAATGCAAATATCAACAACTGACCACTCTGAATCAGTCAGTACTGAAACTAAACCATCCAAGTATGGACCTGCCGTGAAACACTCCACTTGCTTTAGCATTATATATTTTTTGTCCTGAAAATGACCTTATAAAAAACCTAACTGGAAAAATGAAACAACATTAATTCAAACTCGTTATAAAGGCGAACTTTGAAAAGTTAATTACCCCCATTTTCCGAAGCATTTCGTGGAGATCGTACAACTGCATTGTCTGCGATGGAGATATACAGATTGGTTTTATCTTTAACGCGTTAACTAAAGCCATCTCGAAATCATAACCATCTAGTGTTTCGCATCGGACCACTGCCATTGGTATTCCTGAAACAAATTCTGAAAGTTAATTGAGGATATGAAGGAAATTTTGCTGTGAACATCCACATTAGCAACGAAAAACACTGCAATATGTCATTAGTTTTTGAGAGAACTTATTTGAGTACAAAATTATAGCTGACATATGAAGGAGATGTCCCTTGGTTCATAAAAACAGGTAGCAATGAATAATCCTATATTCCACTCTTAAAATTAGCTGTTTTAGAGGTTGGAATTTCTACAACAGAATAAGGCAACAATCATTAATAAAAAGGGAAATACGTAAAATATCAGTGAAAGAGAACTCCTAAAATGCATATTATATACTAATAAAGGACTTTTCCTTTGATATCTCCGATGACAAAAAAGTGAAGCAACACTGCAGATTCATCAAATTCTATAACCAAATCCAAAAATTCTACCGCGATCCAAAAAAACTTCATACTCAAAAGATGGAAACTATCATACTGCTGGGTTGCGAAAACTCTGTTGCTTACCTTCCATGACCCACCTTTCTTCTACTCCTACCACAGCAAAAAAGGAAAAAAAAATCACGAGAAATAGAGAAGCAACACTACGAAGTATCAACACATAATATTCATTCGCAAGCTTTATGAAAAAGTTCGAAATGGTAAAAATTAAAAGTGAACGGGTAATTGAAGAGCTATTTATTAAATTTAATAAACACAGACCAGGTGGTCGCAACGTGTTTTCCCAATATGACTTTGTGAATGCAGCTACTTCAAAGACGACCTCCTCATAAAGCTTGTTAAGTTCACAGTCAATCTGGAACATTAATTTGCTGCATTTGGCGTTAAAATCGTTAAGGAGAGTACCATTTTTCCGACCATCAACGGGTTCGCTTTCCAATATCTTGCGTTTACCTTTATGAAATGTACAGTACTCCATCAGCGCAACACTGAAATTACGCTTGTCCCTGAAATTAAGTTTATTTTAATGAATATCCAAAATAAAATTCAGACGCAAGTACTAATATATGCTGAAACCTAACTCAAATGTTTACACGAATGGAATTAATGAACAATGCCTTTCTTCGTAATATTCAGGAAAACACTTAATAAATAATAGAATATTTACTTTTGCTTAACTATTGATAATCACGAACTGCTCTAACACTTGCACTAGAAATATCAGCAATAATAAGCATATAATTGCAGAGGGAATGTGATATTGTTTCTAAATCAATGAAAGAGATGACATATGATTACCGATAAAGGAAAGGTCAATATAAATGCATATGCCAGAGATGCAAGCTAAATGCATGCACCTAATAAAGTAAAATCTAGCATTAACGGAATGCTGCTCATTCTACGTAAATTGTTATTTCTTTCTTTTCCCTATTATCCTATCATGATCCAGTTAACTTTTTCATGGAAATGACTGGTAATATGTAAGTGTAGCACCATAATGACTGAAAAGTTGGGAAGTTATGGAATCTTAATTAAGTCTGGTGACTCAATGACTCGAGAAGTTATAATGGTACCCACGCCTTAAAAGTTAGCAAAATTAATAGATCATCACTCCTCTTTCCCCCTACTTCTATTATTTCCCATAATCAACAAATAAAGTCAAATCGAGACAATGGCAAAATACAGATATGTTTGAGAGAGATCAGAGACTAGTAATATCCGAGAAATAGCATTGGTGGGTTTCAAAGAAAAATAGCACAATCATTCATTAGAGCATGAGAAAGAAGCAAAGTTGCATTGTGCATTGTACATTATGGATTGAAAGATAGAATAAGTTAGCATATGAGAGGTGCAGAGATAATGACAACAACTATAAGAACATGTTGCGATCCGACTGACTTCAACAGGTATTGGTTCAACTTGCGAGCGTTGCCTTTCTGTGTCAGGTATTTGGCGAGTTTGAGGTGAAAATGTGTGATTCAGTTGATGGGAGTACTTGTACAAGTACTATTCCCGTGATTTCATATGTGCGATTAATTCCTGAGAGAAAGGTCCATTTTCATAATAATTCGGTTTATTCCAAGTGTTATGACCAATGAAGAAGCGAAGAAATGAAATATTTTTTATCGTATCAAAAATGGATTCGGGATGATTGAACATCATGCAGCTATTTTATCGATTAAAACTGAATAAAAGTTCGCAGATCTTCCATCATGTAAGATGTTCTGTTCTCAACAACATCATTCATTGCTTATTTTTAGCGTGCTGAATTTGACTTCAAGAGAAGTATTTTGTGAAAAGTGGGACTTTAGCCCGTTCGCAGTAGAGAAATAAGATATGAAATTAGGTTAATATGTGGAAATGACTGAACAGGTTTCTGATGGGAAGCCCATGTCACCTGCCATTACCCAAACCACGGAGTTTAAACTCTATCCGTTTAACCTATTCACTGACTTATTATTCTGTAAATAAGCCGTCATATTTTCAGCATCACTCTGCCGCTTTCACGTTCGGCGTCTTACCGTTATTTCTCGGTACCGTGGTTGACTATTACGCCTTATATAACCAAAAAGTGTGTTTTTTGCAGTTCTCTTGAACTTTTTAAACAGATAATATTTTCTGGGTTTGGGATGCTTTCCGCTTATTATTGCTACAACAGTTTTTGCAATTGTATTCTAGTAATACTATCTTCTTACTACGCTGTTCCTTTTCTCCGTTTATTCTTTATATATAACTCATTTCATTCCCAGAAATTATCGTACAGTTAACTAATTTTCAGGCATGCCTCAGTATATCTTCTCGTGCTGCAACTTATTTATTTTCTTCCTTTCCATTCACTGGTCTTTGTTTTTGTGTTTTTTTTGCTTTGTATAGCAATTTTGAAAAAGCTACGGAGTAAGTAGTACTTTTTATTATTTATATTATTATTGTTTACTTTGATGTTATTTTTGACTTGTTTAATCGATTTCTTAAACCTTATTATTCTTTCTGTGATTGGCTGATTAAAACATCAGAGTATCCAGGGCATTTCTTAAAAAAGAAAATATAAATTTGGTTTATATATTTCTTGATTTCCTGTAAGTGAATTACACATTTATTAAGAAAGAGTATAAGTAGATTTTTTCAGTCATAATTAGAAATTGTTAATCAGTCATCTTTTTCAAGGATAAAATTAATTATGCTGTGAAATGCAAAAATGTACATCCTGGTTTAATTGTGTTAATGTTTTATACTATTAATTTGTTTGTAGGACTCATTGCTGCATTCGAAATGTTCTTCCATCGATATCAGTCGCTACTGGTGATTTCTATTTGGGGCATTTAATATGGAGGATTCTAATTTTCACTCATCTTATACCGCGGTAGGTTGTTTGTGAAAGTTAGAACATAAAATTTAAAATTAAGGAATATGAGTAGTTCTGATGGTCAGAAGAAGTGATGGTGTGCTAAATATCTTGGCTAATGCTGAAAATTTACAAGAATCTACAATATAATTTATGAAATCTAACAATTTAAACGATCGGTATTATAGTAGATAATTTCAGAGTTGTAGCAGCATTTGCGTATGCACAGTTATTCAGGATCCCGTTAAAAAGTGTTGTACAAAGTACTTTCCGTTATCTCACTTGTTTCTTTAACATATTAGAATTATTTTGCTTAGCAATAGTTAGCGCTATCTCATCCAGAGATAATCATTTTCGACATGTTATCGCTTTCTCCATCTTTCAGGTTTTCTTTACAATTCACTTGGGTTGGTTAAATTTTGAAAAAATGACACAAAAGATTATTGAGTTTAGTTGGTTTTTTTTTTTTTTTATTGTAAATATTTTATAGATAGCAGGAATCATTCATGGTGCGTTACACATTGTAATGTATCGAGTAACGTGCATCTGTGATTATAGTATTCATACTAGAAATCTTACAGGTTATTGGCTTCATTTGTTGTTTGCAAAATTACTTAGTTATTGGAAAAGTTGATACGAATTAGTAGTTTTCTAACTTGTGAAGAGTTGCAGTTTATTTTTTTTTTATAAAATTCTTGCTGTCAAGCTCAACTGTAACTCAAAAATTGAATTTACGGAAATAAATGAATCTTTGTATATTCTTCTAGGTAATGCATGAATGGCATGTATTGCATGAGTTTTAAACAAACAGAGTAAACACTGAGCTAAGTAAATTACCTGATTAGCGGATTGTTACAAGCAATGACTGAATATTATAACATAAAATTTATATCTCATCATACTTATGCTTATTGGTGTAAAGAAGTACATCATGAAATGCTGAGTTTTTCATTATACCACTGAATAAAATGGACAAAGCAAATTGCAGGTTAAAGAAGACGTGTTACAAGTGGTCAGTATTATTTCTTATTATTTGTGGTCTTTTGTATTACCGTCATAACAATCGCTGTGAGCCTTATGTTTTCTCAGCATTTGCATTTTTTGAATATCTTGTTGTGCTAACAAATATCTGTTTTCATGCTACATTTAGATTCGATTTCTACGGTTTGCGTATTTTTGTATTTTGAGATCAGTAATATGAATTATTGTTAAATAAGGCTAATAATAGAATTGCTTAGGAGTGTATCTTGTTTTACAGTAAATTTGGACGTAAATGCAGTGGTTATAAATAGAGCAAGTAAAGAAATGAAACATAACTATTTGGGCAATTGAGTGTACCATCATTTAATACAGGTAACGATACTTCTTAGCTGTGTATTGAAGTATTAATAGTCGATGGAGCAAAGGACTCGTTGCACTACTTATTTCTCTCAGACTACACAAGTTTCATAAGGTTGTTTTAATATCTTGGCGATACACTAATCGAAATATAGGGACATTAAGGAATGAGAGCCATTAATGAAGCGTTTTCCCAGGAGTTATGGAGATGTTATTTACAATTTGAAAAGAAAATCATTAGTGATTGAAATTTCATCTTGATATAAAAGTCTGTTGCATTAGCAAGTTTTGCTACCGTTTTGATAGTGCTTAACAAGTCTCATAGTTACCATTTATAGTTTCAAAATATAATTTCAAAACTCTCTGTTTGAAACTAAAGATTTCAATTTTAAATCATTTTTGTGTTCTCACAGTTGGTAATGAATTCTTGAGCTTAACACTTAGAACAGCTAAATCGGAAACCAAAAACTCAAAAATGCATAAGTTAACTGCAGCTATTCTAAAAACATTTAAAGCAATAACTACAATAGCTGCTTTAACCAACCACATGCGCAGCAACTTACCCTATTTTCTAACTGAATAATAAAAATACGTCCATTTGACATACACTATAAAATTTTTTTTTACATTATAAAAATATAAACATACAAAAAAATATATATATATATTTATAAAAATATAATTTTTTTATATACATTATAAAAATATAAAATTATAAAATCTATGCAAGATATTTTACAAGTGAGGGTTCTAATCAAAAAAGACTCGAAAAGACTATTCCCACTATTTTTCTAGCTGTTTCTACTGAAAAAACTGAACTTTTCTAATGCATCCTTCTTTCTCCCTTCACTTCTATCAGTGAATAAGTCGACAGTGATTGACCGCTTTCTTTGCTTATTGGCTTCAACAATTAACTGCACTTCGAGACTTCCTACTAAAAACCACGAATGGAACAACTGATATAATCCTACTGGGACTTACTCGTACTTCTTTAAGTTCGCGTTTCCCATTAATAAAACAAGTTAATTGGTAACAATTTATGTAACTAACATCAAATTACCGATTCTAGCTTTACGTGTAGTAGCAACAATAATCAATATTGCAAATTCGTTCAGAAAGTTCTAAAAAAATACTTTCGCAATATTTTTACAAATTCGAGTATTTGGCAGCAACAAAATCTACTGTACAAAATGAAGAAATAATGACCGCCCATCCCATTCCGAATACAATTATATTTTTTAAAAACAGCGGTGTAAGAGCGGAACATTCATTGGCGCTTTATATTAAGTGGAATTACAATGTATAAGAAATCCGAAATTAAATACAATCAAAAATACATTTCCTCACTTATAAAATCCCTTTAGAAATTTTAAAAAAACCAAAAATTCGGTTTGAGTTACATATTAATCGAAACATTCACAGCCCACTGATAAAAATTAGTCTAAAAGTAACCGTTTTAGCTTATTTTGATCACTCAAACAGACCTACCAGGAGAAACCAATCTAGCGGGATTCTCTTCACCATTTCGATAGTAAATCAATATATTCTAGAAAAAGAAAAAAAAAACCAAAAAAGAATCCCTGAAACATTTTCAGTATAAAAAACTTAAAGACTAACAAAGTAGTGCGAGAGGAACTGAAACAATATAGAACCAATTACCAATAGAAATAATAAGCACAGGATAAAATTAAGATCAGTAAGTTCCGTAATACTCTTCACCTGTTTCCACTTCTCCAGCTGTTTCAACCTGACCTTCGTCTACAACATAAACATTTTCATACTCATCAGTAGTACGCAGTGGTACCTGCCTGTAATACACTGTATCTTCATCGTAATCTTCTGTGTCATACATTTGCCGTCGTTGTTGTCGACTACTTGTCTAAAACATTACGAATAAAGTCAAATGACAAATTTGAAAATAGCTGGAATTGAAATCCAAGTTTAAGAACGGAATCTCTAAAAATATACACCTTGAAATGGCCAATCAAAAAATTAGAAAAAAAGGTTCCTATTTTTTATTTTTATGAATGCACCAAACTGTGGAGCCAATAATTGTTGGCAAAGTGATTAGATGCAAGAATTTTCAAACTGAAACAAAAAAATCTACCTTTGCAAAAAGATTTTAACTCGACAAAGTCAACAGGAATTTGGACGCGATAAAAATTACTGAAAATAATAAAAAAAAAAAACACTTACTGAATCTGTGCGTATTCTATCCGGTATATTTGCAAATGATGGCAACCACTGCGCATAACGTGAGCCTGGTCCACGTCGCTGAAATTTTTGTACAACATCAGGATCACCCTCTTTGATTTGTATCATCATGCTATTCAAGTTCGAAATTGAATTCTGCGTTGTACGAAGCTGAAAAAAATAAAGGTCAGGAATTTTCTATAAAAAAAGGGTTAAATAATCCCAAATAATATGCCACAATGTCACAAAAGTATGAACCAACTTACTGCTCTCAACACCATATCCATTGTTTCATCATTCAAACGATAAAGTTGCTCAGATACGTTATCAAACAAGAACGAACAAAGCCGATCGATATTTTTCATTCTTATATCAATTTCATCGGAATTCGGATGAAGTGGTCCGTAACGTTCTTCCAGTGCAATTTCACTTTCGCCTCTATGATGAGCTCTACCCTAAACTAGGTAGTTTAGAAAGTATAAGCGCGAATTAGAACTATGAAAATAGTCAATTTATCAAGACAACATACCTCCCCAAACCCACTTGTATTATCATTATCAACATTGATAAAACTACCATCATCGCTTCCTGCGCTTTTATTATGATCTGTAATAGACATCTGATAAACTCTGAATTCTGTAAAGATTGTTAAAATGCTGATAAACAAACCTGACCTCATTGCTCAGTTTAAAATTTTAATAAAATAGTCAAAAATTCTCAAAAAGGCTAACCTTGCAAATCTACTGGGACACTTCTGTGCAGCAAATCTCTGTAATTACTCGAGTCTCAAATAAAAATATTAATATCCACAAATAAAAGTATGAGTTTTTAAGAGTTTCGAAAAAAAAAAATATAGTAAAGGGCAACGAAGCGAAAAAGATATGAAAACCAAAACGTACCTTTTAGGACGTGTAAGCCTAACACGTGCCGATACTTTCTCAGAGCTGGTAGCTGGAAAAACAAACCTAGGATCTAGTGCATGGCCAAAATGAGTTAACTGTCCATTAACTTCGATAGACCTACAAACATGCCTGTTTAATACTTTAATTCTCTGGGAAATAGATTAAAAAACTTTTTCAAAAATATAAAAAATTATATATTCAATTCCTTACCCATCGTCACATTCTGTGTAAAACAAGTGAGCAGGGCACATTGCACCAATTTTAGCAGTACCTTTTCGAGGACGATTACGCAATGAACCTCCTTTGCTTACCCTATAAATAATAAATTTCTAAAAAATTTTCGCTGAAATTCATGCATTAAAATTTATCCAAGAGAGCAAAAGACTGTAAAGAACGCTTCTTTCTTCTATGAGAAAAAAAAAGAAACATCCATGAGTCTTAATAAATGACCTTATCGCTCCAGAACGATTGCAATATAACTGTCGTTTATTTTCCGACTTCCTATGCAAAACAAATCCCATATTTCGAGTTACGGCTAAATCATCCAAATAATTCTAAAAAGGGAATTCTTTTCAAATAACTGATATGTATAAATTTGTCTTCCAGCTGGAAACTGTCCAATCTTTTACTATTATCCACGTACATATTTCTTCCTTCTCAAGTTTTCCTCATTTTTTCTAAATTTTCTTCATTTTTTGTAAATTTTTTCTTCTAAAAAAGAAAATATCAAAAGCCCGTCAAACAAAAAAAAAAAAAAAACTTTTTTTCAGATGCGAATAGAAATAAAAAAACCTGAAATTCTCCAGTGTTTTTGAACTTTCTTTTGACGTACTGCAGCTTGATACCATGTTCATCAGCAACATGTTCATTCAATGTATGGATTGTTGTAGCACGATGTTCACAACCTGGGCATTTAACGGAAGCCTAAAATTTTCGTGAAAATTTTGAAATAAATAGTTTAGATATTCAACAAAGAATAAAGGACACGCCAGAGCAATTACAAGTTTAAAAAAGAAGCCAGCAACTGCAAGACTTCCATGTCTTCAATATACTTGCGCAAATATTTTGCTGAACGGTTATTTGACAGAAACTTACACGTATAACAACCCGGTGTACTTTGAAACGATGAGCGTTCATGCTATTATGATTAGCGAAATAACGATTACAACGATCGCACTGCAACTTTCTTTTTTGCCCACCCACAGATTTTTGATTTCCATCCTTCTTTATACCTTCGGCAGTCTGAAACCAGTGCTTTTTACAAGCACATGTTTTCCCTCAAAAATTAAGAGACAAAACTCAATTTTGTCGGTTATAAACAAAATATCAAGCTCATATACAATGTAGAGAAATGAGGCTTTTCAAGGGCTATCACTTCCAAATCGACCTCTATTCCATACACGAAACTTAAGAAATATTTCGCAGATAAGAAAGAGAAAATTGACCACAAAGAATGTACAAATATTTTTCCTATCCCTTCAGAGTATTCGGGAAAAATCAGAAAGATATATACAATTGCAATTATAATGGTACTAAACCAGCACTAAACCACTCAACTTA